CGCGCCTCGCGTAGTGCTCGCTGGCGGGTTTCTGGTTTAAGCTAAGAATCCTCAAATATTCTCGAGTAACTTTAAGGAAAATTGCGTTACGTTTGGGTTTTGCAAAGGCCACTCCGTTTGAGGGCGGACGGACGCCTGCGAGCTTCGCAAGACTAGTTAGTGGTTGTTGGGAGCCGTTTGATGGAGCAGATCCCTGCCTCGCCCTGTGTGTTCCAGTTCCAGTTCCAGGAGCAGCATCAGGGCTCCTCGCCTCATGGGTAGCGATGAAACTAGAAAAACAAAGCAGCAGCTCCAAGTCTGCCCCGAACTTTGGTCTTTTTACTCTTCTCTGTTACAGTCATGGGGTGATAAGGCCTTCGGGCAGTGGTGCTTTTGCAGGACAGGGCGTGCACCAGTCTGGCATCTGGTGCCACCTGTCACTGCCCTGTCAGTTAAAATGACCCACAACCTGGCCATAGCCCCAGCAGAGCAAAGCTGATGGCAGGAGGCCAGAGGTGGCCTGGCCTGCCACGTGCAGGTATAGTTTGCTCTGAAATCCTTCTGCTCCAGTGAAGGGTGCTGGTAACTCGGTAGGAGGAAAGTTAAGCCGATGGGTTAGGGCAGGCTGGGCATTTCGGGGATCGTTGGGTGGTCTGTGCTCTCATTCCTATTGCTTTCTCTTTTGTTTTCCATCTCTGCACTGACAACCACCTTTTCTGTTGAAAATCCTTATGGTAGTCTGGGTTTGGCTGAGCACAGATCTTTTCATTTCCTCTCAAAAAAAGAGGAAAACTGAAATTGCTCACAGTGTATTTTAACACGCAGTAAAACGTTGCTTGGAGAAAAGCACACTGTAGGCAGCATGTGTATGTAAAAGCGAACGGTGCAGTTGTGTAAGTTACAGTCTGTGTGCACTTGAAGAATAATTCGTGTTTGCTGCTGCTGATTTTGCCTGCTGTCTTCAGAAGATGCCTTTTTTTTTTTTTTTTGGACTTAGGTTACCCATGTTCTAAATGTGGCATACGGAGTCCAAAATGCCTTCCTTAATGACTTTATATACAAGACCATTTCTATTCTGGACCTCCCTGAAACGGATATTACCTCCTATTTCCCAGAATGTTTTGAGTTTATTGAGAAAGCCAAGATCCAGGTACAGTATATCAATAATTAATGCTCCTAGTTATCCTGTTTAGAGCATTTATTACCCTAGGTTTTAGAGAAATGCTTCTTTAATACAGTTGGACCAGTGGCTGACTTTACATGAAGAAATCCCGTCGTAAGTCCAAGTCACTACATCTGACAGAGAGAAACCTTTGTACTTGCTATGATTTATCCATCAGGGATGTTGTTTTGGATTAGAAGAAAGCCTAACAGGGCTTTTACAGATCTGTGTGGTTTGTCAGCAGCCGTCCACCATCCTGGTGCTGTTGCTTAATCATCCATTGAAGATGCAACACGTTGAGCTATCTATCTGCATGCAACTGTGTTCCAAGACTGTCAGAGAATGTTTTAGTCATCTTGGAGCCAACCAGTGGTTTAAGTGCTAACAAAACCCTGTAAAAGACATGGCATAGGAAATAGGGGGAATGGACTCCTCCCGAGGTGGCTTGGCAGACTGGTCTGTAACCAAGACCGTCCCTGACTCCTATGTGTTAAGTTCAGGCTTCCTGTGTAACTTGGGACAACCGTTGCTTTGGTATTAACACTATGACTTGACACCAAGCCTTTTTGCACATTATTCCACCATATCTACCGTGTTCCTTATTTACATAGGTTGGGATAAAAGGATGTAATCTTGCCCCCGCTTGCTTTGTGTCACACAATGTTCTTTCCTTCTCTCTTTCATCATTTACGAGCTATGTGATACACGTTGTCACTTAACGACCTCCGCAGGGTTTCGAGTGACGGTTTCCACTTCGTTTCTCAATGACACTTGCCACCCTTAACTGCATAGTGTTGCTTTCTGCCTCTGCTGTTCATGTTCCAGTTGCTATTTTGTAAGCTAAGGATTTTTCCTGAGAACTTCTACATCAATACTAATAGCTTTCTAATGGAAGAGTTGGGTGAAGGAGCAGGTAATTGATGGAATAGATGTTCTCCAGGATCAGTTAAAGAAGCCTGTGATAGCAGTATGCAGGGACAAATCCCTGGATGGTTTGAATCACTTCATTTGCTTTGTCAAAATAGCATTAAAAGATCCTGTGATAAATGGTATCCTGAAGTGCTCTTCTGTATAAGTCATCACAAAGAGATGCTACTGTTTCATCTCCTAAGGTAGGGGAGCGATGTTCACTGCTGAGAGAGTGTGATACATGAGAAATTATTACTAGAACATGGTTAACTTCATGAAGGAGTATGACAGCACTTGAGTTAGAGAATGCAAGTAAAGCCTGCACTGTTCAGTAAGTCACTGCCAGCTGGTGCTTGTAACAGGATTGACTTTCCTAAAACGGCAACTGCTCATCTCTGTAGACACCATGGTACAAACTCTGATACTGATCAGAGCTCACCTTTTCTTTTAGGCTCCAAATTGGCAGGCAGATTTTCCATGACACGTTAAGCGACCCATGTCGGATCATAGTGCTATGAATGAGGGATGTTTTTTTATCTTTCTGTTTAATATCTAACTACAAAACCTCTAAAATCTTATCTTTCCAGGGAGGAAATCTTAGCCCATTCATTAACATCTCTCCTTATTGCTCCCTCTGTCCCTCCTAAAGAGAAAGCCCTGGCACCACCGCAAAGTGGATCTCTAAGAAAATGCATTAGCCCATGGCTCTTCACCAAAAGCTTTATGCTGCTTTTTCATTTCTTTCCGCAGTGAGGCTTTTTGCCTGCTGTGTATAACTGCTCTGTAATCACAGTTTCTCTTGATGGAAGGTGATTTCACTTCTCCCTATATGAAAAATAATAAAAAAACCTCTGTGGTCTTGAATCTGAAGTTTCTTACAAGACCACGGACTCCGTTTCTGGATAGGCGAATGTTAGGCTAGGAAGATCATTGCAGGGAGTTCTTAGCAAATAAAAATTAATTTCATATCTGCAATCTCTTTTTCATTTTTATTCTGTATTCATATCTAATACGAATTTAGTTAAGAATTACATGCCGTATTCATCTTTGTGTAAAGAAATAACAGTATTTAGCAAGGAAAGATAAATGTTCTCAATAGTATTAAATTTGATTTAATGTTACTGCCCATGTTCATTCATGTTCAGTAATTTTCAGATTTATTCCATGGATATCACTAAATAATTTTTGGCAACGTACAACAGAACAGTCATTAAAAAAAAAACCAAAAAAACAGCCCTTAAAGGTGAAAGAACGAAAATAAAGCATGAACTCAAAGAAAAAGAAATGCATCATTTTCAATGCTTTTTACTCTCAGTGCCACTGCTAGACATTGATCTTGATTAGACATTGATCTTGATTCTGGTACGTTATGTCTGAAAAAACTCCCATTAAACCAGTGAGAACTACTCCAGATCTACAGTGGATAAGCTTCAGCAATTGCTTCATTAGCAGTGGCATAAATACAGTTTTTAATGTCATAATTTTAACGTCATTTTTATAAAGGAGATAGTGGATTTACAGGTCACTCCTGGTGCTTCCTCAGGTAGTTGAAATACGCGTACACGTCTGCTTTCCGCTCTGCGAAAGTGAGAAGGGGAATGAAGATGACAGCTTCCAGCAGGCGAGGCAAGGGGATGTGATTTCCATTGCAAAAAAGGTGCTTTTGTGCTTCATTAGGGTGCAGGAGCTTAGTTTCAGTTCCGAGCTCTGCTATAATCTTGCTGTGTTAAGTTGAGCAAGTCATTCTTCTACTCCCAGCTTGGCGTTTCTTCAACAAGGATAATAACACTCAATTTTATACTTCTTTGCCTTATTATTTAAACTGGAGGATTTTTGGAGTGGGAACCATTTTCTGCTCTGTGTGTTTATTAACATACCAGGTAATTGCGACTCCCAGGTCTGTAAATAAGCCATCAAGTTCCTGGAAAGGAAACTTGGTGGCTATAAGGTCTTTTTTTCCTCGGGATGAAATGCCCATTGAATGATTTGTGCCTGTTAAGGGCAGAATGAGCAGGCTCTTTATATCAAGAATATATTCGTTTAGCCTCAATTATCAGAGCTCATTGTGTCGTGTTTCAGTATCGTTATTCAGAATATCAAGATGCTAGGGGTTTGGGATTATTTTTTTTTTTTTCGTGAAAGGGGCATTTGGCCGCCAGTTTGAACTGAGGCTTTTCGAGGTCATAGTGTGACGTACAAACACGACAGCATCACGAAGCCTGGGCCTTGCACGCGTCGCCTGAACCACGCTGGGTTGTCCGGTTGTGTTAACTCATGCCCGTTGTTTCTTATCGAAACGTACAGGGTCTTTTTAAAGAGTCGATTAAGATTGTGTGGGAAATGTTTAAGTAGGACTAAAACATTAATTTTATAGCTAAATCAGGATAAACCTGAATTTAAACCCCAGAAGAAACATTTGTGAATTTATGGGAGGTTCAGTGGTTTTGGATTCTGCACCCAAGTTCAGGGACCTTAGTTGCGCCAGCTGCACCAGCCACGACAGTTGTACCAGTGATGTGATGAGAGGTGGAGATTTGCTGCAAATCACACGGTACCTTGCCTGATTTTTCTGCTCCTGTGCATGATCTGCTTACCCAGAATCTTCACTGAAGAGCTCCAGAGCAGGCAAGAAGCGTGCGACTGAAACGGCAAGACGTTCTAAAATCTGCCCCTGTGCCTGGCTGTTTGCTGCCTCGCTATGTTTTTAACCTGGTAACAAGTTAACAGTCAAGTTCTTTTCCATACTGCAAACAAAATAAATTCTAAAGTTGGCACCCAATTAGATCAGATATCTTAGTATCCCAGATATCTGTGATTTGGTTTTTACATGAGGAGGCTGCTGCAGGCTCTTGGGAAAAGGGACAGAGGAATGTTTTTTTTAGTTCTAATGTATGAATTAGGTTTGAAGAATTTGATAATTATAAAGTGGCTTTCGTTAGAAAAACATTTAATTTTGGGCTTATGTATCTGTGTTTGGAGTTACTTATATGTGTAAATACTTGCTTTGAGCTCAGCAAGGAGCTTTTAATAAGTCTTAGTAGATTTTTGTGTAAAGTTTCTAATACTTGTTGCTATCTGTCTACTTAATGAATACCCCAACTGGCGTTTTGTTTGTTTCTTGAAGGACGGTGTGGTTCTGGTGCACTGCAACGCAGGAGTCTCCCGTGCAGCCGCAGTCGTCATTGGTTTTCTAATGAATTCAGAAGGACTGAGTTTTGCCAGAGCCTTTTCCGTGGTGAAAAACGCGAGGCCTGCGGCTTGTCCAAATCCTGGCTTCATGGAGCAGCTTCACAAGTACCAAGAGCAGAACGTAAAGGCAAATGGAAGCATCAATGATCACGACTGATCGAAAGGGAGAAGTGAAACAATCTGGTTTGCTTATACAGTAACAGATGCTGGATGTACTTCAGTCTGTCATTTTGCAGCCCCCTTTCACTTGTGCATTTTAAAGTCTTTACATATTTTTTTTTTCCTCACTCCCCTTTGACCCCCTTTTTTTCAGCATGTAGTCTAAAAGCCAAATGGTATTCCACTGACTTCAGAGATGATTTTGCTGAAGAACAAGCTCTTTACAGAGCGCTAATAGAAAGATAAAGTTCAGTTTTCCTTGAAATATTAGCGAAAAGCAGAATGGTGATTTTTTTTTTTTTTTATTGACCCATCAGAAAATGCAGGCAGTAGAGAAAGGTAATAAAATAGCTGAGATAACATTGCCCTGTTTAATACTAAACCGAATCTATGCATTCTAGTTGGTTGTAAAATCTAGATAATAAAACGTTCATATAATAAAGTACCTTGATACTGGCTTTTAAATTTATATCGCAACTAAAGAGGATTTCATTGGATTTTGTGGGCTAGCCAGCCATTAAATATTTTTGGCAATGAAAACAGATGGTCTTTTGAGGATGCTCAAAATGTGTAGGATGTTTTAATGCTTCATATCTTTCTACTGTTTGTCATCAAGTAGTGATTTGAAGTGCACTAGCATGATGTTTTCAAAGTGCTGGAATCAGGCTATCAGGTTTTTTTTTGTAGATCATTTTGTGGCGATATGAAAAACGTTTATAACAATTGATCTCTGACTCGCTGCTACTGCCTGTTGTTTGCATTTGGTCCTCATTTGCTGTCCCCTTGCTGCATTCTACATCGTGGGTACAGAACAGACGTCATAGGGTAGGTGACTTGGACCCTCCTGACAGATTTTCAGGTGGAATTACTGCCTTAAGATAGCATATTTACAAAAAAAAACAAAAAAAAAAAGTCTGTAAAAGATTTTATGAGTATTTTTGTGGCCTCCATGCCAGTTCTAAATGGTTTATTAACGTGCAACGAAATAAAGGAACACGGTGTTTGGATAAATTCTGTGCTGCAGCGAGTGGGAAGGGCTGGTTTCCAGAATGGACACAGAATTCCCTCCTCCTGCCGCCGCGTGAACGGTTCTCCACGCGGACTGCTCCT